GTGTAGATTCTGAAGATGAGCAGGTTCAGCTGATAACCACTCTGGACAACACTGAAGAGGACTTGCTCACCCTGGAGTATATCAAAGTACGTGTGATACTGTACATTAAATTACATTTCAGATCGGAAGATATTGCCAGCATCCTGAATGATTGTTTTCCTAATGCTAAATGGATTTCTCATTGAGGATTGTATGTCTCATCTAGGCTGATAAAAATGGTCCTGAGTTCAAGTCTTTGCACAAGAATACTGAGCAGCTCATCAAGGTGAGAGAAATGTTAATTAACTAGTAACTAACATTGAGATTTGTCTGTTATTCTTTTCTGCTCTGCTTGAGTAATGTGGGGCGTAATTATGTAGGATTCACTTTTAACCAGTCAATGCTGGAACGTTATGCAAATACCACATCTAAAACAAAACGTATCCTCATGTTCTGTATTCTATTTAAATAATTAATCATAACAAAAACCACAATATTTGTTACAGAATGTAAATGTAACATTGTCTTTCCCATCAGGTGACGTTTTCATCCCTTGATGTTCATCTACATACGGAGGCTCTACTCAATACCATGAACTTCCTCAACAACCTCCTGCCTGTGTCCACGAAGAAGGAGGGCGGGCAGGAGGAGCTGCCCACCATCCCAGAGGAAGATGAGGTAGAAGGAGAGAAGGAGGGAGAAAAGAAGGAGGAAGCCACTGTCTCCAAGAAAAGAAGTAACTTTCAGAGAGTCATTACATGTCACATTCAAAAGCTAGTCATCATCTGTTAGCTTCATTTCCTGTCTCTATTTATTTCCCTTTTCTTTCTGTTTTTCACAGATCCAAAGAAATCAAAGTTTGCAGATGTGGTGAATCTTCATATCAGAGCTGATCTCCGCTGTCTAAAAGTTTTCATCAGAGGACAGAATGCCAGAATCTCTGAGATTAGTATCGAAGGTAAGGAAATGTTGTGATATGTTGCTCTCCTGGACCCAGAGGATTTTGCTTGTGTTAAAACTTGTTAAAGCTTTTTTCAGCTTGCTTAAAGTTCTTTTATTTAAAGTTGTCCTATGATGCAACCTCTCTGATCTGCTTACTCATTGTCTCATGTTCTCAATCATCCAGGTCTGGTTTCTGAGGTTCTAATGAGGAAGAAGGAGATGGAGATTCTGGCCAACCTGAAGGACATTGTGATCCTAGACTGTGACAAAGATGCCTTCTACAGGAAGGTACAATCACAAGTTGCCTTTATTCGAAAACTAATACTATAATCTAAATTAGCTAATTTACCTAATGAAATACAG